CAACACGACACAGGCATACCAAGGTGCCAGCATGCCGCATTCTAATATACTGCTCACATAGAGCCGTTGGGTCCTGGCTTGGCGGTGAAATCTGTTGGTGAAATACCGCGTTTCGCTGCGAGGGAAGTGAATTTTTCCAAGACATTTTGCGCGACGCCCTGCGAGAGGACCTCGAATCCGGCGTATAGACGGAAGATGGTTCTGACTGGGGCTGAACCGGATGGTGTTGTTGGCACAAGTGTATTTTCTCGGCTTGACGTATCGTGAAATTTGACTGCCCGCAAGAACGGCTGCCTTGGAACCATCGGAAAGACCAGACGGGACTGTTAGCCTTAGCAAATCTCTTCTACCCAAGTTGGTAGCAAGGCATCCGATTGTGCTACCATGTCAATGTTCACAAATATGGTTGTATCTGAGTTAGTAATTAGTTGGCACTGTACGGTACCGACTCGACTCAAATCACGGTTATCCGTAGGAATCTCTTCTTATGTGGTACTTTGCTCTGCTTGGGACGCCATCTGTATTCTTGCCCGGCAGCCTCTTGTCCGTCCACAGGGGATTTGAATTGAGATGGGATGGATGAACACCAATATGGTGCCGGTATAGTCGTCACATGCTTTTCACTTGACGATGTTCTTGACGATGAACGTTTGAGAGCACAGTCCTTGGGCCAAAGACAAATTGCCCAGGGCTTCACGGGAATATAGGCTATGGCGGAGGAATAAGCGTTCGGGCATGAATGAGGTAAATAGCGAATAGAGTTGGGCGAGAGTCAAGTCAGGGGGCTGTGCCAGACGTCTCGAGCGATGCGGGGATCGCACCAGACATCAAGTAGACCATGCACCGGCTGACAATAGCTACTTGGCCTTCTCTTACGCGCCATTGCTCTCAAGCGCACTGACCCTTTGGCGGGTCGTAGCGACCTGTTTCTCGACATGTACGAAGACACAGCTAGGCAGAATATGACAGCTCAGACTACATGCGATTATCTATGGCAAATCGTCTAGCCGAATCAGGAAATCCCCGACTTTGATTAGACACGGTTCTTCACGTTACCCCGCCATGATTGAGTGGCTAATAGTTGGTTGATATACGGGCTAGCACTACATGTAGTCGCCCGACTCTCTGCGTCCATGCACATACACGTTCTATTCCCGATCAGTTGTTCCCTCGACTCTGCTAGTACTAACTCGATCGCAACCGCGACTATGACTAAACTTGCGACTGTCCAAGCACTCTGATCAAGCCCTAGGCTTGATCTATATAGGGTATCAGAAGACATTAGTACGACTTTGTTTCTCAAGGCCACATTGTACTCAAGGGTTAGGAAATGGCTTACGATCCTTGCAGAACCGGGAACCGGGAACCGGCAACGCACCAATTATCGCAGCCTTCCTTTGCGCATCGTGTGCTGCCAGCAGCTTGATCAACAGTAGTGTCGCTCATGGTTATACAAGTTTTGGCTGACATGGTTGGGCGGGGGCAAAGGCTTGAACGAAGGATGTTTTGATCAAAGTGTCAAGTGGTCTGGAAATTTATTGCAAGTGTCGAAGAAGAAGTTTGCAATCGCTGTGCGGCTAGTATATATACCTTTTCATCGGGACTGTCAGGCATGGCTGCCTTAACATTCATGGTACCGCTGCGGTTGGTGTTAGACGGAAGTTACGTTGCCATGATGGCACGGGCCGGACTTTGAACCCGACGATAGTTACATATGGGCTCGAGACCGAGTTAAGGCCTTCGGCTATCAGGTTCGCTTGCTTGCCGCTATTATATTTACATAAGGGTTATTTACCCTTAAAGGCTTTAAGAGATGCAAGAGTCTTCAATATGAAAGCGAACATTGAATGATGAGCAGAATGCGAGGTTGTTCCAAGCCCTTATCACAGTCAGGCCGCAATGTGGAAGAATTTGAATTTTGATCAATTCATGTTGGGCCGGGTCTCACGCGGGGGTGGCTCGTGCACCTTGGCCCCGTCAAGTACGAGGAGTCGATGCTGACCTCACTACGTGAAAACTTCCACCAGACATGTCCTGCGACAACCGTCAATACTGTCTCGTGATTTCCCAATAGGACTCACGTTCAACTTATACACGCAATGGCGCCCAGATTCTTCAGCTGCTCCGTGCCAGATTGTACAAGGCCAAGCGTCAGAGCAACCGGGGGATGCGATATCTGTAATCGCCACCTATGCCTCACCCACCTGTCTCCTCCTCTCCATACGTGCGACGAGGTACGAAACCAGTCCCTTTTCTCTTCACCGCAGCCCGTTTTAGAACCTCTCAAAATGGAATACTAAATGTGGTCCGATAACCAGGCCGTAGATGATGCAACTTATACATTACAGATTGTCGCCGAGATTGATCGTCTTCGCTCTCGAATCAATGACGAGGCTGCATGCCAATATGCGTCCAGGCTGAATGGTGGTAGGAGTTGCAGTATCGAGCACTCTTCGAAAGTTGGACCGGGCGCCCTCATGGGAAACGCCAACTATCATGCCCGTATTCGCTTCCACGACGGCTCTCCCTCATGGCTCCTGCGAGTTCCTCGAGTTGCGAGCTGCGCCGTTGGTCTTCCCGTCTCGTTGGCAAACTATTTAATACTCAGCGAGTACGCAACATTAAAATTCCTCGAAACCACTACGGTACCGGCACCTCAAGCCTTCGGTTACGGCGTATGCGGTAATGGAACCGACCATGGAGTCGGCGTGAGTTTCCTTCTCATGCAAGAACTACCAGGAAGACCCTGGACAGGCGAGGGTGCGTCAGGCAAAGCGGCCACTGAAGACGAGAAGGCAAGGATCTGGGGTGACCTCGCCGAAATCCTGGTTGAGTTGGAACACCACCCCTTCCCCAAAGCTGGGTCTCTGTGCTTCCAAACATCCAACATTGAAGTGTCGGCGGTAGCAAGCGACAGGTTCGTCGTCCTCACTCCTCATGGTCCATTTCATAATTCGACCGCCTATTATGCTGCCTTCGCCGAACAGTACTTGCAGCTGATTGCGGATGGCCAACTGTATACCGAGTATCCTGTCGATGCGTACCTGGTGTACCGCTTTCTCAAGGACAAGGCATCTCACCTAGCCCAACAAGGACAAGCACAATCTCGAGAGGAATTCTTTTTAAAGCATGTCGACGACAAAGGCGACCACTTGCTCGTCGACGACGACCTTCACATTACCGGTATCATTGACTGGCAGATGGCACGTGTCGTACCTCGACGTGAAGCCTTTGGACCGTCACTTGTTACTGCCGACATGAGTGCCTTGTGCCGTGGTAAGGTCTCGCTAAGTTCCGATGATGTTGCCTTGACGGATGCACTGCGGCAAAGGGGCATCTCTAGCTGTGTCACAGATGAGAAAGTGAGAAGATTCTTCTGGGGTCTGGCCTTGGAACCCAAATGGTCACGCGCGTTGCCGTTGGCAAGTGCCATACTTGAAGTCTTTGGAGCCGGTCAAGACTGGACACGGTGGAGGGAGACGGCACTAAAGCAATACGAGACTGACGAGCGCTTAAAAGGCCTCGTTGAGCGTTATTGCCACTGAAGCCGGCATAGAATGCGCGTCACCCCTACCAACTAGATGCCTAAATAAATGACACGTCACTTCACAGTCGTTCCAGTCTTGGTATAAACGCTTTGCGCCTGACGTCGTGCGAGCCCTTAAACTCTGACTCTGGACGCCTGGTTCTATTCAAGATGTCACCGCGACAAGGCAGTAGCATGCTGAGCCGGCAGTTTTATTATTATCCATGTGCTTTCCCCGTACATGTATGTAGTTGACAGCTCCAACGTGCAAGGGGTGGCGTAGTATTTTGAATCCATCCCAGCCTTGAACTAGATACTATTATAATTATGATTACCTGGTATACAAACCCCCACTCTTGCAACGTAACAAGGCGTCTCATATATGGCGCTTAACTTCTACTTGCCAATCTGGCAGCGCTTGCAAAACTGTACATGGGGTTCCCGGTGGCAACGAAACAATGTGTCGACAGGGAGCTTCTGGCCTCGACGCTGCCGGTCCAGTTAACCGAGCCACCTCTTGGGTCCTACACCTCGGCATGCTCCGTCTGAAATAAAACTCCCGACTTACCATTGCTTTCTAGGCTGGCAGAAACGCCATTCTTCAGTGTTGAGTGCTCACCATCAAAGATGGTGGTCATTTCTTCCAATGACAGACCTTTTGTTTCAGGGTACCCAACCCAAATAACAAGAGTCCAAAACGCTAGAAGACAGAGAAATACAATATAATATTTCCATCCAAGATTCTCTAATGCAATAGGATTCGTGAAGCCGTTAAAAATACTCGCCAGGGTGCTACCGAGCTGGAATATGGTCATTCCCTTTGCCCGAAGCTCAAAGGTGAGAATTTCGACGCAATAAGCAGGCATCACGGGTGCTGCCATATGGTAAAAGCAAAAGAATGCAAAGATGAGAACGACGATGCCATGACCCATGTATTTGTTTTCAAAATGAGGTCGAGTGATGATGGCGGCAAGGATTGTCCAAACTAGGTACGTGAAGAACATGGCAATATAAGAAGCAAGAAGAAGCTTTCGTCGTCCAACGCGATCAATGGTCAGTCCGAAGAAGACTGCCCAGAGGAACGACCAGACCTGGGTGCAGGCATTGATGACAAGCTGTGTATACGAGTCTGTAACTGAACGTTAATCAAGACGCATTGCATCGCTGCTTTTAGCCACAGTAACTCAGGCGCTAATCACCTGTTGCTCACTGAGCGACAGTGAGCTTCCTGAGTCCTCCCTGAGTCCTCCCTGAGCGTGACTTGAGCTTCTTCCTGCTTTTCCTGAGCCGGACGTGCACGCGCACAGAGAAGCTGACTGTCCAAATTGGGGGTGTCTTTAGTAGCGTTTGTTAGACTGGTCGCCGTCAGGCTTCGTCATCACTAACTATGTATTGCATATAAAATCTTCCCTCAGCCTACCTTGACAACTCAACTTTCTCATCTCTATTATCTGTGTTATTATCTTCTCCAAACATGGACGACTCAAAGTCGGAGGAGCCGAAGGCCAAAGGCAGACAGATACGGGACTTTGATACCTTGTTTGATCTAGCCGTGCGAAATGGCTTACGTGAAGATAAATCAGACGTCGACTCGCATTTCGTGTATCGCAGACTCAAGGGGCAGAGTATAAAGCGTTTCCCAAAGTCGCTTTTCCCATGGAATGCGTGAGTATATGTTCACTTAAAATATTACCAACAGATACTAAAGTAGATTTCTAGATACAAGAAGCGAAACCCAGGCGCAACTCCACAACACCTGGACACCTTAAAACACTACACTAAGTTCCTGGGCCTGACTATGAAAGGCAGAATAAAAGAAAATAATCCGTTTAGTCGGCCAACTACGGACAGTTTACGGGCTGAAATCCGACGGTTCTGCAGTGCTTGGAATCGGGAAAATGTGGCTACCAATAACTGGATTCCCAAGGAAGTAAGCGAGTCTATGGCACCGGTGAGTTTAGTATCGAGATTCCTGGATTAACTATACTCTAACAGCTGTGTAGTACATTGAGGGGCCATTGGCCGACGAGATAGGGTTGCTACGCGGAAAGAGAGGAAAGATTCCGCGAAAGTACTTCACGCTTGATAGCTACAAAAAAGTGCAAAGTTTTCATTGGGAAGAGGACTGGTTTGACTACATTCATGAAGGCACCCGAGTCGACAACACAAACATGATTAATGGACACGCCTATACATCTGCAAGACTGAGTGAAATTTGCCAGGCAACATACAAGGTAGGTCAACCCATACAGTGTCACTGGTTCAATTTGACTCATGTCCAACTGCAGGACCTTGAATGTGTTGTTGGCTATTATGACGGGGAGCCCGACATTAAATTAAAATTCACAAGGGAGTTCTGTAAGGCCAAGGACGTAGATCAGTAAGTTCATCTTTCCTGCTTGACACAAATTTTCCAGCCGGCTAATCCCAATATCAGGCCCGAGCACCCCTTTCCAGAGAGAATGAATACGCCCGATGGGTTGTACCCCCCTCTAGTTGCCCAGCCAATTGTACATTGGCTAGCCAATATCGTGTCTTCTCAGGCATTTGCTCGATATCACACGCTTGACCAGATCCTTGCAATCAGACCGCCTAAAAACAGCAACTACTGCATAATCGAGTGGGCAGATCATATGCTGGACAAGCCAGTGTTCCCGGAATGGAACCCGGATGGAAGGTCAGAGAAGACAAGGTGCCCAAATGCATGGGGCAGTCAGTCAACCGCGCTAGCTAAGCGTGCTGGCATGACGAATGGACTTGGATTTCATTCCGTGCGGCGCAAAGCGCTGATCAACTGCAATGGTAAGAATTCGCTACTATACTCACCAGCCGTCGCTAATACACTTATCGTTCAGATGCTGGGTACTCGCTTGCATCGATTCTGAAGTTTGCGTCGCAGAATAATACAAATGTTCTGGTTAACAAGTATCTGGGAACAGTGTGTTCTATCGACGGTGTAGCTACGTACCAAGGGCTCCCACCTCGGAACGACCTGGCGGAGGACTTTCTGTCTGCAACAATGAGATGGAACCCAGACCTCGCATTTCGATTACCTTCGAAGAGAACGGAAGAGATAAAAGACAGCACTGAGTATTGTTCCATGACAGAAGAGATTGATATTTTAACGCAGAGAATTGCGGCCAATTCCGAAGGAAACGCTACCGTTCTTAGAGCACAACGAACAACACTGTACAATAAACGAAATTCTCTGATCAAGAATGAATTAAGAAAGCTTCAGCTTCAACAGAAGGTTGACTATGAAACTGATAAGGCACCATACGATGAGACAGACTGGCATAAAGGTCACTTCAACCGGATTAAACATATGTTGCCTCCGGAGAGACTAAGGCTGGCGACTACGATGATGGCTCAAGCCTCACCAAGAAGCCAGACATGGATACAAGCCATTGAGGATTTGATATGTCTCCGTAACTCGGATTGCAAAGTGGCATATCAGAGAGGGCTCCAACCTGTGGATGGATTCTGCCCTATTAGCAGCTGCCGCCAGGAAATATCAAGGTATGAAACTTTTAAATTTGGTGTGTCCCTCATTGCTAACAAAAGTTTGGCTATAGTCTACCAGTTGAGAAACGGTGGAACCATATCTACAGATGCTATCGAGCTCTATACACTGGACTGCATTGCTTTGCCCAATTCTGTTTCATGTGCAATGAATGGGTTACAAGCAAGTTTGAATGGCTGAACCACTGTGAAGCTCATATAGAGACAAATAATGTGCCTTTTCGCTACGACCCAGTCACCTTCCGATATGCTACGGCCTGCGCCGGTTATTGCCCTGTGTGTATTTGGAAGACTGACCTCCCAGCCGATGAGAGGCTAAAGCAGTACACAGACCGAAGCGCATGGAGAAGACACATTTCAAGGTGCATCTTATCATACATGAAACATCAGGATGACCAACCGAATCTCAAATGCCCTGATGAAAGATGTCCAAAGGCCTTCCCAGCCCGTCAGGCTTTGTGGCACCATCTAGACGACGTACACAGCATACCAACTATAAGCCATCATGACATGTCAAAGGGGGACACACTTCCATTTAACCAAGAAAATCCTAGGCGCGATCATATCCGACTTATTAAACACAGCAGCCCACCGGAGATATCATCTTTGCGCATATCGCCCGAGCGGCAATCCTGGACCGATGAACTCATAAACGATTCATCATCACAATTTAGCAAACGCGACAGTTGCATCTGGGATGCAGAGAGCATATGCGCCGCGGACACTCCACTGTCGGAGGTATACTGTGATGTCAACGAGATAGACATGAAGGATGAAGAGCACTCTTTGTCAGAGGCTGATGATCCGCCAATAAGCTTCGGTATTGAGCGGGAGATTTTAATTGACCCAATGCTCTTGTGTGAACACCATACAGGCCTTGCGGTACAACCCCCCTCAACAATGTCGTCCAGTTTTGGAGTTGATGGTAGTGGACATCGGGAAAGTGAACCAGAGGTTTCTGGAAACGCCACGGAGCATGAACTGGCGCACGACAATCAATACTTTGTTGACCGCTTACTCGGAAAATGGCGCCACAGGGGCAAGGTCTGGTTTTACTTGAGGTGGAACGATGGAAGTTATGGATTCGAGGAGGAAGTGGACATCAATGAAGATCTTCGAAAGGATTTCGAAACAAAAGCCTTCACGGGATTTCACGAAGGCGCTCATGTAAAGCGTGTAAGAGAACGAAATGGCAAGACAAGTTACCTGACGGGGTTTCTAGGGTGCATGGAAGAGTGGGAACTTCCAGAGCAGGCCCTCCACCCAGACTTGGTTGCTAGACATAAGCCAGCCAAGAAGAGCAAAGGCAAATCGAAGAGGGGCAGAAAGAAGTCCTGATAGTTTGAGCTTCAATGAAATTGGGCAGATCCTGAATTTCAAATGCATATTTACATCACTTATGAGAATAGATACTGCAATCTCCTCTAGAATTGACCTGCGTTAAGCACCTTGCCTCTGCCTTCCACTGATTCATGTGATGTTCCGGGATTCCCAATGGATTAACATGCCTAGGGTTAGCACTCCTGGAAGACTAGAAATTTTCCATTGGGTGGCCCCCGTCGCTGTGAGAAATGGTCGTCCGGGCTAAAGGAAAGACGGGGTTACTCTGCGCGCCGTAGCTTGCGTTGCGGTGACATTCGCATCAGCGCGCAACGGTAGGTTATGGCCGGTCAGAACTGCCCAGGCTGCAGAAACGGTTAGGTCAGTTGGCACTTTCTGGATCAAGCTCAAATTCAGGCCAACAAATTTGTATGTACACAAATGACCAGGTACGGGGAATTGCGGAAACGGCGGAGTTGACGTTCAGCATCCCCTAATGGATGCTTACGACTGTTTACAATTCGGCAAGTTCTGGCTTCTAGCGCGTAAATTCTGTCCTTCGTTTATCGGAACTGTGTGTTCCTAACCCTAATTCTTGACGAAAGGGATACGTAAAAAGCAAACTGTTCTGCACTGTGCCCGGAATACGCTAGACTGTAGACGCTGTATCTGGACGTTGTGAGGTCAGTCTACGTGGTACTGCCATCTTCCAAAAGCATCTCTTTAACAAGTAACTACCGGTATCCAAAACCGGCAACAGTTATATTGATGATTTAGGATGCAGGGTTCTACGGAGCAACACGTCAACTGAAGTGAGCCAAACTGTAAACCAATCTTGGCAGAATGTGGCCAACTTTGGGCTAAAAGTTGAACTTAAAACGTAGACAACTGAACATGAACTCCGCTGCAGTGGGACAATCGTGTATTACCGAAATACTGGTGTTGGTTTCTCTTTTTAAATAGTGTTCAGCGGCGGTAAATACCATATATTTGCTTCTCATCAAAGAGTAATATTTATCAGTCATGAGGTTCAATGACCTATCTGATTTTCAGTGGCAGATTGCAACGCAGGCATTTAACATGTTAGTGAAAGGTCAGGAAAAGAAAGGTTAGTCTATTAAAATATACTTTAACAAGTATCCCAATGACTCTATCCGAATATTCTCGTACTCAACTTACATTTGCATAATCTGGTAGCAGAAAAAATAAAACAATACTGTTGCTATATTCATAACTCAATATCACGTCTAACGTCATGTGTAGACCCGTAATAGGGGGTAACACCATGTACAAATATCGTTACCACCAACACTACCCCTTTTACTACCATAGATAGAAGATAGATTTGAATTGACCTTTATTGATACCCCTATTGCAGTACTGCATTATCCCTTTGACAATCCAACAAATACAAACAACACAGTACGCGACTCGTGCTCATTCCCAGCTGCCAGACGCTAAAGCTGACGCATATTCATAATGAAAGGTGGGTATTGATTAAGTAAAGAAATTAGCTCGTTGACAGGTCTTCCCAGAAGTTAAAATACACTTCGCTTGCTGAGCATAAGTGCGCCCATTGTTAACGTTATGATCTGAAAACCCAGCGGCCCAGATCATAATTCCACCAAAAGCGGGATCGTTGGTATATATGCGTGTCAAATTAGATAACTGATCAGGCTCCAGGTAGTACTTCCCCCCGCTTTGAGTGCCGGTTGCTCCAAGAGGGGAAGCAGGAACGCCAATAAATATTTTGGCATCAGAAGAGGGAGAATTGGCAATATTCTTTTTCCAACTGTTATAATTAATAGTCCCATCGACAGAGCAGCCTGGATTATTATAGAACTGAACCCAGAGGTAGTCAAACTGAGCCCGTGTGATGATTTGGTTCATATTGGGCTCGGGAATCGGGCACTGAGGAGCGCCAGTAATGAAATACTTGTTAACGCGATCAGAAGCAAAGTTGGAACGAAGTTTCGCGATCAAGAACTCATAGAATTGGGTTCCACTGTTGCTTTCAATGTCAAAGTCCCATCCATCAACGAAGGTCTTGCCAAAGGGTCGTGGGATAGAGCTATTAGACTTAGAGTTGCCGTAGGCAAGCCATAGGTTCTGGCCAATGGTTTCCGCCTCCTCGCGAGAAGACAGTGAATAAGCTCCAGAACCACCCCCAAGAGAAATGATAACTTTAATACCGTTTGATTTGCAAACATCAATAGCTCTAGCCAAGTCGTCGCACTGCTGACCCTCTCCAGTGGTACTAATAAAGCATGACTGGCCTATTGTTCCAGAAGGGATCCTAAGTCCGTTTCCGTATTGATATAAGAAGGAGAGGACAACAATATCAATACCTGACTCCTTGGTACAGTAAGCGGCAAGACTGTTGTTTTCGACAATTCCTCCTCCATTTTGTCCCCAATAGACAACGTTTTGAGCCCCACCCCGAGGAGTGCATTGGTCCAAGGCGAAGACAGTGCTGCCAACTAGAAGAGCAAGGCTTGAAATAAGTCCAGTACAAGATAACATACTCAGTTTCTTTCCCAGAGAATTGAATTATTCTGGGTATATAGTCGATACACCCGTAAATACGTGGATTACACGTAAGTGGAGTAATAAAAAGAAGGCTATTTATCACAGCAGAGACCAGGTAAGTTAATTCTTTATATTTATTGCGTCTTCGTCCAGAATACGCTGTTAGCGGGTTAGGTGTTGAAGTACAACCTCTACGGCTGTGAACAACTGGTACGCAGAGGAGGTCCTGAAATTGCCTAACTTCTATTCCTATCGTGGCCTGGTACAAAGATGACGCCGTATAAGCCCTGCCAATTCTGTCGGCAGCTCTGCTTTTTGGGACATATGCCCATTGACGCATGAAAAGGTTCTTGGTTAAGTCGCAAGCATACATTTAATATATAACAGCCATTTCCCACTGTAATACATGCTAGGTGTCTTGATTATTTCTAGTCTACCCCCTACCCAAACCAAGATACTTGGTGCAAGCCGACGGTATCCAGACCAACAGGGACTAAAGAAGTGTGCTGTCGGTCCTCCATTCTTGTAGATTCATCAATGGCCTTTGTACATGAAGAGAATGCCACTGCGAGGCAATTCACTATCAGCAGAGGTCTTCTGCAATCCAGTTAGGATATTTTGGCAGACGAGGAGAAGTGGGGATATTGCGCCCAAATGGACTTTAACAGACAGTTTTCAAAGCTTGCCCTTCGAGATCGAAGTGAAGACTCGCAATTTATTGCCGAGTCCCGCAGGTCCTGGTTTTCCCGGCATATCTGTACCGGCTTTAGTCATTCTGACACACTGCAAGAAGCATGCTGGGAAGAGTTAACAAAGAAGACGAGGTTACCCTTGGAAAATTATCGTAAGGAATAGTACTAATGGGTGACGACTTTTTGCGGCGGAGAGAAGACTGCACATCTCCTATGGACAACAGAAGGTACATGGTAAATGTGCCGCCAGAAGTACACACTTCTGGACCAAAAGTCTAACGAGGTTCTTGCCGAATTCAAGAGTAACAAAAGTCAACACATGAGTGGCGTGTGGAAAAAGATCATCAGGTAGCCGTAAAGGAATTTCACAATCTCTAGATAGTTTCTAATAATTTTCAAGCCGGAAGACCCTTTATAATTTCCATATCTGTTTCCTGGCGAATCTCGGCAAGAATAGACAGACTATTCTCCATCTCCGCGAAAGTCTTTGAAAACATTTCTTGAGCACAGCTCGCAGCATGGGAATATTGCTGTAGTTGATTTTCAGCCAACCGTAGCTTATCGTATAGGAGCTTATTGTCTTCTTCCGCCACCTTCCTCTGTTCTAATTCAGTCGCCAAGGCGCTTGAAAGTTGACAGATCTGTTCCGAAAGCCCTCTATTCTCGGTTGTCAGTCGCTCAATCTCTACACTGAAGCTTGGTTGTACGTTGGAAAGCTAGGAGTTCATTAGAGTGTGTAGTAACAACAAATGTGCGGGAATGCCCAAAGGCCAATTTACCAATAACGTCGTTCCTTCGGCATCACCCAGTGTTGTTTCTCGGTGAGTGGCTTCGAAGGTTCCACCCACTTGCTCGGCAAGAAGTCGGTAGGTTCCAATTGAATGGTCGCTTAAGTTCTTCCCAAATATTGGAGCATAAAGCTTTTCATGCCCAGGGAAAGGTCTCCAAACGTACGCATCATGAAACCGAGGGTTTAGTCTGACTTCAGATGGCTTGACAATGATGCCGAGTCGTTCATCTGTTTGGTCTTAAAACAAGCCACCTAGTTTTATTGCAGGTCACTTACTTATGTGCTGTGATAACTTCAGACGACATTTGTCTCTTTCCCGGCGGCGGTCAGCATTACTTTGCCGAGACTTTTCTGTCATAGTGTAATATTTCAGTATATTCTAACGTGTGCTACCCAAGTGATCGAGTTGTTTCCTGGGCAAGTTCGAGTTGATTCGAATCTTCTCTAGTTTCCAATGAGTCCGCCGACCCTGGTGGTGTCGTTATGTTCTTCTGCCTTGAGCACATAATACTTCAAAGCTGAATTCCAAGATGAATGGAAATAGCACTCGAAAGCGGTCGATTCTTGCTCACGTCTAGATTTGGCTTGATGTGTTAGAGTGCCGTAGAGCTAACTTTCGTTTCTGCCCTGTCAGCATTGACGCGAAAAAGGGCTTTTGCTATTATGAGCCGATACTGACCTGGATAATTCGTCAGTGGTGTATGTATCCAGACACGTCAAGTCTCACAATAGAGGTAGCAGAAAACAGACATGTTACCATAGGATAAGGTGGTTGCATAGTGTGATGTACGGCAGTGCCATCGGCGAGATCTTGCGAAGACAAGATGCCAACCTATGGAGCTCCTCACTACCCATGAACCTTTGTGGGGACCTACGTGGCTGGTGGTAGAAACTTCATACAGGACACTCGTATCGACTTGATTGTCCTCGTTCTGCTCCATGATTGCAACATTCAGCCATATCAAGGTAGGTCTACGAGTATGGCAAAGTTCGGAATAATCGCAGCGCAACCAAGGGTTAGAAGTGGCGCACGCACCAATGGGGTGGTAATAGTAATCTTTGGCCAAAAGTTGACACAGACAAGGGTATCAAGCGGGGTCCTACAGGAACTAATGATTCACACCAGTGTGGATATAGCTTCGCTGGGGTCCCCTGTGCCTTATCACAGCTCAGGTTTTGGCTCATCTTGGGCATGTTTTGGCCGAAAGTTGCTGGGGACAGGACTCCACTTCGTTGACTGACCCCACTGCCACACTCCTGTCCACAGTCAGGCGTCTTCAACCCATCTCCTCTCGCTGTTTGTGTCGCGTCTTACTCTGCATTGGGAGATAAGAACCTTACTCAGTTCTCCAGTCAAACAAGAGGCATACGAGCGTAGAACTAGTCGCGGAAAGCTTGACAATGTCCCACATATCTAGTTTTCCGATTAGCTTGTCAACAATCACTTATTTCCTCCCCTTCATGGCGTCCACCGACGACGATCGCTACGTCAGAGTGATCGACTCAATGGTAGTAGTACTCGCAGCGATAGCCGGGGGCTGGGGGACCTTGGGGGACCTGTAGAAGTGATGACTAACTATACTAGCTCTCTACTCCACCTAGTCCACAACAGGGCGACAGCATGCCAATAACACCTGATTCCTCGCGAGGGCCTGTACTTCTGCCACCGCTATTACTTGAACATGCACTTTGTTCTTGGCCATTATACACAGATACGGCGGTCAAGAAGTAAAAAGAGATTCTATTGACAAATCCAACGGAATTGGGGATCTTTCTGCGATAATGGGCGGCTGCAAGTGCTTGCGGAGGCGGTCCACTCTCAGGCTCGTCATTGGCTGCCTGCTTTACCTAGGCGCTTAAATCATTGTACAAAACGAAAATGTCACACAAAAGAACGCTCTCTTTGCGGAGCAATTAGTTCCCACTTAATTGTCAGACAATTAAGGGTCACAAAAGATCGAGTGTAATGGCCCCCCTTCGGCGTCAATTGGTTTGGATGAGAATTATCTGAAGAACAAATGAAAGATGGAAATGAGCGCGGTATTTTATCTTGTGAGCAAGCTCCGCCGAAGCGGCGAAGCTGTAACAAGGAACCATGGCTGATACAATCCTAAGACAAGGAGTCGTTGTTGACGTCGCTGCATTGTAGGGATTGTAAAAAGCAGCGACTTACCCCGTTTTGAGGTCCTGATATCTGACACACTGCTTTTACTTGTTCATTGCGACTGCTGTACATCGTCTTTTACGGATAACTATCATCTTTCTATGAGTGTAATAAATACTACTTCCATTTGTAGTTTCGTAACGTCATAGGGCCATATTTACCAGTTTACCGGGACTTTCATGTTAATGGAGCTTCGATATCCATTCGTTTGGCCCTTTCAATAGTACACTGCGTCGTTCTTCTATCCGAGGCAGTGGATGGGACACAGGACGGATGGGCAGATAAGAGGTCTCGTAAATCAAATTTAGAGCCTGAAATATCTCACATCGTTCGCCGCTCTGCAAGGTGCAGTTGCATCTTAAAATGGACGTTGTGGGCATCCTTCGTTTTGTGCCGACAAAATGTTACAACTACCATAACAACATATTGTCGAACTTGGAAGCTGCACCATTCACAATCTTTTATTAATGTTGTCTCAATTTCGAACTATATTTTCGGACCTTACTGCCTACGAGCCGTCTTCTATTCGTATAACGCTTTCATAATAGCATGTCCCATTCAAGTGGCAAGATTCCGATGGCATGTGTAATACAGTGAGATTGTCCATATCCTGACAAACTTCTCAGCTAACCTGTCCATCCCTTCCTGCAAGTCTCGATAACGACACCGTTGTATTCCGGGGCAACACTGATGAGTGCGCTGGACAAGTTCTAACTGGTTTTGTTGTTTTCCATCTTCAAGCACCAAGGTTCATTGAAGATATCTGCCTTCGCGTCTTGGCTATATTAAATATATCGAACAAAGCTCGCTCCGTATGGCATAGGCTGCGCCAATGCTTTCAAAGTGCGAAGCTAAGATCAATAGAGACTGTCTTGGAGCAGGTCTGTCTTCGAGGGGGTGGTCTACTGTTGCCAGCAGGGAACTATAAGTACCCATTCGAGTTTTGTCTGCCAATCGATTTGACCGAGAGCATTCAAGGTATACCGGAAATATCCTTAAAATATCAAGTTAATGCTATTATAGTAGACAAGGGGATGGCTATCTTTTACGCTTGCAAAGACCTTCGTATCATACGCACTCCTGCATTAGATGCTCTCGAACCATTGCAGTCCGCAAGTGGAGAAGGTATATGGGATGATAAGCTTAAATATTCTATCGGTATTTCCCCAAAGGCAGTGGGCTTCGGTGGCACGATTCAACTCACTCTATGCGCCGACCCTCTCACCTCTGGGATAGCACTAAGAGATGTTGTGGTGAGGGTAATTGAAATTCGCGAATTTCCAATCGTAGATTGCTTGGGGCCAGCTGCAAGAGCTAGCAGATGTATTGCAGAGAACTTAACAGCACAGCAACATATTACGCTACGTTCGGTTGATAAAGGTTGGATGTTTAACGTGCCGCTGTCCCTTCCGAGAAAACTTGGGGATTGTGTCCAAAACCTTGCCTACAATGAAATTAAAGTAGAGCATAAGGTTGAAGTGATCATATCTGTCAAGGAATTGGCTGGGCATGGATTTAAGGTAAGTGACTGGAGATCCTTGTCATTCATCAATGGTTACTTTGCCATTAACTGGCCCGTCCAGCTCCGCGCCATGGTACCCCTTAGAATATATATGCCCCTCAATGCAGTTTTCAGCACAAAGGGGACTTTGCTCACTATGGGAAACCCTACTGGTATCAATGAACCCGCTAGCTCCGTCGCTCCGCCGATGTACAGAAAGCAAGACCAAGAGCCTCCAGCATATACGCTGGTGAGCTGAGGTGTCCCCAAGCTGCTAAGCGATGGTGTGGATGTTTTGGGAGTCCGAAAACTTTCGGTATATTAACGGATGGTATCATATTTGAACTGAAAATATCATTGAGTACTATTGTTTCCATGAGCTCTTTGGCTGCTCTGGCGTTGTACAGAGACGCTACATTTTTTGCTCGCACATTTGGTTGAGGCATCTCATGCTTAGATATTACAGGATCACTTCCAGCTTAATCGTAGAACTCTTGGCGAACACAACAAAACTATAAGTTGGCATAGTCTTTACTCCGCCTTTACTGGACTTTCCGTACACGCACTGTCTCATGCGCCGGTGTTTGGGTGTGTCGGAAAAAGCTGCCTCTGTTGATTGAACAAGCAGACTTGACATAATTGCTGAAAGTCATAAAATCATTGATGTCAGAATTCGAAAGGATGGCCGGCCACCCTGATCTGATTAGGTGGCTCAGAGGTCTTCTAAACTTAAGATAAATGACATGGCCCCTTCTGAAGGATAGAAAAAGAACATGAATAACACGCCAAGACTTAGTTTCAATGTGTCTCACACCGTGAGAGGATAGTGTGGTTGATGTGAGTAGATGGCGTTACGATCTCTGGTATTTTGCATCAGTGCCACCGTTACTCGCTACATTGATTCCATATGGTTCAAAGGTGACCCCAGAAAAGTCTGATAAATCCACTGTAGCCCACATATTCATCTACCCACGGTTGCAATACATGTATGTATTCACAACATGAATCTATACTTGTTACTTGTTCTTCTTCCCTTTACCCAGGGACTATCGCAGGTAAGCGTAGTAAACCGATGTCCTTTCGCTCTGTTTCTGAAGTCTGTTCAACAAAACGCGTCTCAAATACAGTACTTAGCCCCCAACAAGATTTACAGAGAAGCGTATGGACCTGTTATAAACGGCATTGGTGTATCAATAAAAGTAGCAACTAATGATAAGATTGGTGAGGAGATTGATGAACAGAAGAGCATGATTGAGTTCGACAATAGTCCTATTACCCAGCTCGAGTACTCTTATGTTCCATGGAATAGCCTTGTGGACCTATTTTACGACAGTTCCAAGGAATAGCCTTGTGGACCTATTTTACGACATCTCTGCTGTAGACGACTCACCTGCGAGGCAATTCTGTCAATATGGCTGTCAGCTCCGCACAACATCAATCAAGTGTGACTCGGTTCTTTGTCCTGCGCAATGTGACAAATTTTGCTCTCATGTTTATAATCGTCCTGACGATAATTGGCCGACACATGGATGCAGTAGCCATGTTGCACTTGAGCTTGCCCTCTGCACTTCTTATATAGGTACACCTTAAGTCTCTGGTGTGCGTATCGGCGAGGTCAGCAGTACACTTTGCACAGATGGTCGACTGAAGTTTAGGCGAGGTTGTGTGCCTCTTTAAT